GCCAGACTAGCCTGAGATTAGGTAATACTATTTTTACGTGCCAAAGAATTTTTTTTTCTCCTAGGTAAATATGTTATTTGCCTTGTGTTTTTAGCATTTTGGTTCTTACCAAAATGAAGTCAAGCGTTTGTTTGTTTTTTTGGAGATTCTACAACGGCCAAGTTTGACGTACTATGCTGAAAACAGATCACAGTAAAAGAGAGAAGAGAATCCATCGTGCTCACCGGAATTCTTCCTGTGGAGAAACTATTTTTTGATGGTTTTTTTTTCTCTCTTTTTTGAGGGTCGAAATTTGCAGCAGATTTTGTTCTGAGCGCTTCATGGTGAGACAGAATGAATTAAAAAAAAGTTCATTAACTTTATCATTTACCGTTTAACAAAGGCGCCTACAAAAAAAACATGTCAAAAGGACGTATTTTTTTTCTCTGAATACCGCTATTACTGTATACTAGTTCTATAATTTTCATCATCATTTTCTCGAGAACTGTCAACAAAAATGTTAAAAACAATTTATTTATGATTTATTTTCATAATTATTTCTTTATAACATGGGAAACAATACATAATTCATTGTTTTATTTATTTATTACATGAATAATGCATTATTTATTCATTAGTCAATAATAATAAGTAAGTGAAATTGCCGTTCCTTTGTGTGTTACAATCTATATTAGCCTTTCATTTTCTAAGTATGATGTCCTTTCAGAACAAGGACTGTAATGGCGTTCCACAATTTTCTTTCATTTGTTGAACGAAGTAGTTCTTTTTTATTTACCACCATTTGCTCAAGAATTTGGAACCGCATTTATTTAATTAATATTGTATGGTATATTGTTTATTATGTATCAGACCTTATATTAAAATGTCATCGTTTACAAATTTTATTAGCGAGCCCCCACTTTTCGTGGAACAAAAGCGGTCACCCCGTACAAATAATTTATAAAATACCTGCTATCAGTCTTTTATATTAATTACTAACACATGCCCTTTACAACACAGGCGATATTATCTAATTTGCATAAAGTTTAAACACGTATTTTTAAAAACTCGAAATCACCCCATGCAAGGCAGTAAAGCCATTAATGCACAAGGGGTTATTGGGTGTGAAAGAGCTGGAAAACAAAAGTATTATTAGGTACCAAGAACAACAGAAGAGTAATCAGTGAGACAATATATAACTATTGATATTTCTCTTTAATGTTTGAAGATCAAAGTTGACTGGAAAGCAAACCGGAAGAGAGTTCGACAAGCGATAAGTGCGAGTTATGAAATTGTCGGCATAGAACTTAAGCTTAAATCTCGCCAATTCAATTGTAAATTGAAGAGAGTTTGTTACTAATCTAGTATAGCGCTTAAAGAAGTGCTCATCTGAACAATTACCACGAAACTATTTATAAAAAGAGCACAGGGAGGCAACATTATTGAAACCGAAACGCCAGGTCGGGACTAATAATATTGCTGATACGTGTTGTGGTGTTCTCCCTCTAAGAGTCTATGTTAGACTCTTCCGCCTACTATAAGTTCAGTTGGTTCGGTGAACAGTGAATAGATCGAGTACTAGTTCCCTCGATACGCTCTTTCTAGTCGCGTAAATACTATTCTGGTGTACTTAACCATTTACTTGTTCACAGCATTACGTCTTTGGATTTTATCAAGAATCTCTAAATATATAGCAGGAGCACTGGATCATATGTGGCAACAATATTCAAAGCATGGACGAATGGTAGATTTATAAATATGTAAGATAGATTTAGGAGATAAAAATTGTCTAGCACGACACAGTGAACCAAGTGTCTTAGCAGCAGACCTAGCAATGAATTCAATATCATCGTTCCACATCATGTCAGCAGAGAACGTGGGCCAGAGAAGGCGCAATGAGTCACTTTCCTGTAGGTTAGCATCAGCCATGCTAGTGAGAAACAGAAAGAGGTCTTTCAGATGATTAACAGAGAGCAGTTTTTTTTTGTTTTTTTTTGGGGGGGTACGTTAAAATTAATAGGCCATCCTTTGCCCCAGTTAACAACAAACTGAGGGTCATTTTTTAGATTGACGTTATCAAACTGATCAGATTTAATATCGAGACAAGAGAAAATGGTTTTATCATTAATATCGAAACTATGTTGAGTGCTGATGCCATCAGAAAGGTCGTTAATGAAAATTAAAATCCAAGTAGGACCAGGGAAAAAGTCCAGAGGAATACCAACATTAGTACGAAAGGATATAGGAGAGTGGTCGTTCAGGACATCTTTCATTTCGCTATTTGACAAGAAAGACTGAATTAGTTCAAAAATTTGTCCGAAGATACCATAATTTAATATTTTAGTATTTCTTATGTATTATTAATATTTAATGCATTTTTTAAACTCTATATAGGAGCAATGTTACTTTCATTATTTTTTTTAATTCAACGCGTTCGTATAGAAATAATTTATATCTTCCTTGATAAAATTCAGTTGTTAGTTAGAAAATCTAAAACGTTCGTAATAATAAGCATTGTTGTAGTCTGATATTTCACATTTCTAGAAATTTATCAAACAGAGCCGAAAAAAGAAATTATGGTATTGTTTTAATGAGTCAAAATAAAAAATAAATAATCTATTTCATTAGATTTTCTTAAAACTTTACTGAATTATTTAAACAAATGAGAAAATGAGTAACTTTTCTTAATTTATTTATTAATATTATTTCCTTTGATTTATGCTGAATACTCATTTACTTCCGGATCCCAACTAGTGACCTAAGGTCAGAAATGGCATCATGACATTTCCCACTGAAAAAAAAAATAGACAACGTAAGATCACATAAATTTTACATATATAAAGCCCTTCGAAAGGTGTGAGCTGTACTTGTCAGAACAATTTTCTGTATCTCCTTGAGGCATGGACTTCCAGGAATCCCTTGTTGTTATTATTATTATTATTATTGGTATTATTATAATTAATATGAAGATTAGAGAATTATTCAAATGTTTCTCTTGTGTTCAGCTGTATATAGCTTATGTCCAGAGTAGGGTGTTCAAGAAGAATAGCCTCATGACTGACACAATTTTTAAAATAGGTCAGGGGTCAGCAACCTTTTGCTAACTATGTGCCGAATTAGGCTTTTAAAAGTATTCAGCGTGCCAACAGCATACGTAATTGTTTTTATACAAGTCAAGGTCAATATAGCAGTTCTACAATATATTTTATATAGTAATATATACTTTAGTATATATATATATATATATATATATATATATATATATATATATATATATATATATACCTTCCTTCTTTTTATTTTCTGTGTCCCTTCAGGATGTAGGTTATCATGTCTCTCAATTTGCTCCAATCCCTTGTAGATCTCAATAGTTTTTTTTTCCCTTTGCTACATCCCCCAATCCAACAGAATGCGACGAGGCACCTCCTTGCTATCCACAAAAAGAAGTTACAAGAGGAGATTGCTTCGAAGGTGATTAAATGTCGAATTGATATATGGTGTAGTTTTCTTTTTTTTATAGTACCAGTTATTTGATCAGACTTCGTACGCTTTTGTGATGTCGAAATTTCTCTGACTATCGTCTTTCTCCTTTCATTGTTTATTCTTTTCTGATGAAATGGTTGAAAGATTACCAAAACAAAAATACCCACGTGTGTATGCGTGCGTACACGCGTGTGTGTGTGTGTTTGCGCACGCGTGCTTATTTATTTACTTATCTGGACTATTAATTGAGTTATTTTTTACCCTTACTCATAAGAAAATTAGCAGAAATATCTTTTAATGCCTCCAAGTCGGCTATCTCAGAAGAGAAGATAGCAGATCTGATAAATCCGATGTTGGCTGACCTTTGCCATGTCTGTGTTTCTATAAAGAGCAATTATCATCTATCTATCTCTATTGCCCCTCTTATACATGTATGTTTTTTAATCAATTTACTCCAAGTAAGGTGATAATGCCACTAAGATTTAAGGAGTTACTGGGATTGAAAAAGAAAGAGATTTCAGCAGGAACTGGAAACCCAATCTTAAAGATGAAACGAGGGATGAAACTCTACTCCCAGATCTCGCATCTTGCGACTTTTCTTTCTTTCCAAAATGGAAGGATATTTCAAGATCTGTCTATATTGCTGAGATGAGGTATTATGAACAATTAATGGTCAGTGTAAGCATTAACCTACAACGTAACAACTACACTGGTTATATGACAGCACCTCCGACAAACTTGGATAGAAATGTGCAAGAGGATAACAACACTTAGAAAACAGCGTCGGACTTCCTACCGTATGTGAAGGAATTATCGGAAAAATACAAAAGATCCGTATAACATCAGAATGACTTTCAAAATTAGTTCAACACTTCGTAGACACCACTTCGTAGACATCACTTCCGAATAAGACCTCCCATAGAGGAGAACATGATTAAGGACTGTGTGTACGACATCCCATGCAGTTGTGGCAAGTAATATAAAAGAGAAACAGGCCGCCTCCTTAAGATGAGGCTACAGGAATACCGTAAAGCCGTAACACGAGGGGAAATAAAAAGGAGAGGTACGTGGAACTAGAACAATCTACTCCGGTGGACGAAATAAAGGGTTCAGTTCGAAATTCACCTGAAGAAGCCCAGGACACCGTGAATATGGTAACGAAGATGAGGACAACAGTCCGAACAATATAAATCGCGTAAATAATTCAAGATGTCGAGGAAATCCAAGGGAATGCGACGATTTTGGTATCCCCGATTTGTAATTTGCATTTTAGACACATCCTTTTGCATTTTGTCTTCTTGATGTTTATACTTAGTCCTTTCTTCTAGCTTTCCTTCTCTTCCTTCTGTAGGAGCTTTCGTAGTTTCCTTCCTGTGCCTGCTATCAACACTGTGTCATCTGCATACCATATGTTAAGAGTGTTGCTGCTAATAATGAATGCTAGTACTACTACTAATTCTCTCAAAATTGCCTCGTTAGATAGGGTGAATTAATCCGGCGAGATGACACCAACTCGGTTCTAGAACCAAGTTGTGCCGGAGAATTGGTCTTGTGTACTTATTACATTAATCGTTAAATTTTTATATAATGAATTGTAATGACATTTTAATGTCTTCTTATGAAATATTATCTCTTCTTGCTGTTCATCTCTATTATTTATTTATTCTATTTCAAGATGATGTACACAATTATCCAATCAAAAGGAGAAAAAACTGCGCATGCGCGTGAACTGCGTTACAAGAACTCGTTCTTCAGGTCGAAACTATTCATCTTGCGTTGCCTTAAGAATGTAGAAAAGAAACAAAAAAGAACAACTCGTCGCGTTTCCATTAACGCCTATATGTCAACACTGCATGATGGGAACGATGTCATGTAAAATGCCTTCAAAATAAATATTTGTATGCGTGTGAAGTACGATCAGTTTTTACGAGGATGTACTGAAATGCAAATGTTAGATACAAAAATACAGCCGGTTCTATAGATCTTCAAATCGGTCGCTTCCTCTGAATTCTGTTAAATATATGTGGGTCATTTGGTATCTTAATGAAAGGAACTGAACAAAAGAAGCGTCATAATTATCTCGAGATTCTAGAAGCGTCAAAATTATCTCAAGATTCTAGAAGCGTCAAAATTATCTCGAGATTCTAGAAGCGTCAAAATTATCTCAAGATTCTAGAAGCGTCAAAATTATCTCGAGATTCTAGAAGCGTCAAAATTATCTCGAGATTCTAGAAGCGTCAAAATTATCTCAAGATTCTAGAAGCGTCAAAATTATCTCGAGATTCTAGAAGAAAATTATCACGAAATTCTAGTAGAGTCAAAATTATCTCTAGGTTCCTGAAAGAATCAAAAGCGTCAAAATTATCTTGAGATTCTAGAAGCGTCAAAATTATCTTGAGGTTCTAGAGGCGTCAAAATTATCTTGAGATTCTAGAGGCGTCAAAATTATCTTGAGGTTCTCAAAAGAATCCAAAGCGTCAAAATTATTTCGAGATTCTAGAAGCGTCAAAATTAACACAGAATCTCCTAGACAATGTAGTAAAGTGAGAATGGACTAAACATTAGTTGTAAGAAGACAGAATGTATAGTTGTCAGTAAGAGAAACGCGCCAAGATGAAAACTAGGAATTATTGGTGTCAAAATTTTCATGTGGTTTCTTAATGTGAAGAAAAGAACAGAAAGAAAACGATAGATAGATAGATAGATAATGGCTAGAATAAGATAGATAGATAGATAGATAGATAGATAGATAGATAATGAACAGAGTTTGACAGAGAGATGAACAAACTGAGAAATTAAAAGACTGGGATATATATATATATATATATATATATATATATATATATATATATATATATATATGAAGGCAGACAGGAAGTCGAAAATAAGAAATAAATCTAAAAATACGGAAGCCAAAAAGAGAAGTAAAATTGCAGACTATCTCTGGATTCTTTATCAATCAACGTAAAATGCGTTCGTCTGCTTCAATCAGTTTTGCACTCTTTCTTACTTCCTCAATTGTTCTCTACTTTTTTTTTTTTCATTTCTTTTTATCTCCATCATAACTACTTTCTTTTTAAAAAAAAAAAAAAAAAAATATATCTTTTTCTATTTTTCGGTGTTAATTTTATTTTACCAGCAAATTCTTTCCATTTTTCTGTATAATTTACTTTTCCCGCATTTTTATTTTTATCGATATATTTGCTTTTGCTTTCTCTCCGCCATTTCTTCCTTTGTTCTCGATTTTATTTATTTCTCTTTGTTCCAAAAAATCTTACTTACATCCAGTAATTTTTTTTTAGCTTTTTCGTTCTTTCTTCCGACAAAGAATCTTTTTCTTCTCTTTCTCTCTCTCTCTCTTTCTCTCTCTCTCTCTCTCTCTTTCTCTCACTCTCTTTCTCTCACTCTTTCTCTCTTTTGTTCGCCCGCTCTCTCTTAAACCGACTGAACATCCGAAAGCTAAATATTCCAGTCAACCCTTCGTTATTTTTCCCATTACTGGGAGGAAAGAAAAAAGGGTTTCATGCCTTTCTCAAGTTTGAACTCGGCCTCCCGATTGAAGTTTCTGCGCCGATAACTTATAAACTTGGCTGCTCTTTTCGTTCTTTCTCCCAACAAAATTTCTTTCTCTTCTCTCTCTCTCTCTCTCTCTCTCTCTCTCTCTCTCTTTCTTTCTTTCTCTCTCTCTTTTGTCTCCGTTCTTTTCACAGATTTCTTTTTTGTTACTAAATGTGCACCCAATACAGGGCGCAAGAGTCACGTTACTAAATGAGTTTATTATATGGAAAGTAATTACAGATTATGAGGCTATGTAGGATATATAACATTTAAGCCTAGACATGACGTGGTTAAAATTATAGTGATCGGGATGCATCATCTCGGGAGTATGATCCAATAAGTAATGCTTCTCGTGAAGCAACTGTCTGAGTGGAACTTCTTTCTTGCCCACAGAATACGAAGGGGATATGGATGAGTCAAACCTGTGTACGTGATAAGGTGGGTCCTAACTGTAAAGATCTGAATTGGTGGAACTAAAGAATGTAGTTCGTCTGGACATTTGTCGGGAAATAACGATAGAGTAACGGGTTGGCTGGGTTGAAAATAAGACATCTTCCACAAGGTCTCGTAAACTTTTTAAAACTCTGTCAAGACGAGAAACTAAGGAGTGAGATGCTCCAGTCAAGATATGGCAGCAATACTCCATTTGTGGCTTGATCAGACTTTTCTAAAGATATATCTTCTCTTGTTCTTGTAACGGCATACACCCGAGGTGGGTTGAGCCGGCTCCAATATTGGAGTTTCATGGGAATTTGGAATTCACAAGCGGTCCCCAAACCCGCATGTATAGCACATGATTGATTATAGTGGCGAAGGTTTCGTGCAGGATCATCCACACTTTTTTTTTTTTTTTTTGAAGTGCCAATTAAAGAGACCTGGTGCACTACGTGCCACAAGGTCCCCAAACGACCCTCAGCAGGTTTTGAATTCAGAGTTTTCCTTCTCCTAGACCAGTTGCCATCCAAGGCTATAGAACCCACTCCTGATATTTACCCATAGCTAGAGGGGGAAGAAGAGGATTCACACCTTTCCCAAGGGTATTAGCACGTAAGTGAATGTAAAGGATTCGACTGGATTCCTCAATCTAAGCCGCTATCCATTACTCCACCGTGCCTCATATATCATGGCAGAAGGAATCAAGTTCAACCTGAAGCGGCATATGTAACCGATAATTTTTTCAACACATTTGATGGATCGTATACAGGACCGATGGAAAGGTGTCGTGCTCCTCCGAATCTAAGATAGTGGGCTCTTAATTTTGAAAAGGTAGTATCCATATAAAATACAAGTAATCAACCATATGCAATATAGTTGAACAATTCAACTAGAGAAATTGAAAATAAATACAATGTATCTAAACACAAATTAGAGACAAGTCATAATAGATCATGCCATCTTAAATCAGGAAAGTTTTTCGGCAATTTCTAAGATCAACGTGAGGTTTTCTTGTTAGAAAGTCAAAGAATTTTAGCACAGTAAACATTATGGTTTAAAAAATAAAGGATTTGACATAGTTTTTTTTTTTCGAGACTTAGCATGAGCAAAAAAAAATCACAGAGTTGGGCGGCAAAAAGAAGTCCCCAGAATGACGACAAAAACCGCGAAAATATTCATCCTTTAATAGTCGTTGGTGATTAGTTTAATTTGTAAAGTACCCCGGATGTAACAACAAAATTGTCCAAATCGTGTAACAGCATAGGATAATTGTCCATCCCACAAAATCTTTAATATCTAAGAAAATACACTAAACTAATTACGTTTCATTCCCAGGTTTTCAGATAAGACGTTTAGCCATCTTGATACCATTTGTCGTAAGAATCACTAAAAAAAATCCTTTTAGTTATACAGCTAGAAAGAGAACAGGATAAAATCGTTTTATGTAACCCCCACTATGTCTTCCAAACTGAACAATGGTGAGAGGAAAAAGATCATCCAAGCCTTTAGTAATGGTACCAACATTGATAATCTGGTTTCTATCTTCAAAATTCATTCAAAATCAATCATGAGAACGGTGAATAAGTTTTAAAAAGCGGGAACAGTAGAGAGGAAAATTGGATCAGCAGGTCAGAACAGGAAAAGGGATCATCATTTCAACTTAAAGCGAAATACATTCTTATAGTCCAGCAGTGTTTAAAAAATCTCTGAGAATTCCAGTAAGATATCTTTAATCATTTCTAATATACAGCGGTTCAAATCTTAATCTAACAACTGGACAATTCTGCTGTTACACGATTTGGACAATTTTGATGTTACATCCGGTATATAAATGTAGGTAGTAAAAAGCAAATGTTAATAATATAGCGAGGGTCACAAGTCACTGCCCGGGACCAGCTATCAGGCTTGCCACCCCTGATCGTAGAGTTCGGGTGTAATATGTACCAGCCCTGCCGAGACTAGCAAGAGAAGCTAGAGGCCTAACCAGGATTTATTATCGGTGGATAAAATCTTAAGTAAATGACAGTGTTGATGGCAGGCACGGAAGGAAAACTATAAAAACTCATAGACAAATTTTGATAAGATAGCGAGGGTCACAAAGGACTGCCCCCAATCATGCTTACTTTTGGTTGTGGGGTTAGTTAGCACCTGCCCTAATCATATATATGAGTTCTAATTAAGTTTTGGTATGAACTTGAGTTCCAATAGGAGTTAAATACAAGAACCTTAATGGGAATACAAACGTTCATTATGACTGGAAAAAAAATCGGGTCTACTGACTAGCCATGATGAAGCGTTAATAATTAGTTTTTCGACTTCAAGCCAAAACAGGTGAAATTTCTTAATAATCGTAGATTGACTTGAGCTTCGTGTCATTTTTGAAATCCCTACATTTTTAAATGTCCTTGTGTCAGTGCAATATTCAAAAGTATATTTTCTTTACATATGAATTGTACAGATGCAAGAAGTCATAGAATGGATCTACCAAAATTCTGCGGTAAACAAGAAGATCAAGAAGAAAGAACAGCAATTCTTGACAGATAAATGACCTTTTAAAACATGTTACTCTCGCTCTTTCTTCTCGTCGCTACATATTCTTTCTTGTAATTCCATCCCTCTTTTCTCGCATGTTTCTCTTTCGTCTTTTCGCGGTTTTCTTTTCATATTATCTTTCCCCTCCTTTGTTCTTCGCAAAAGATTTCTGAATTATAACCGAATTTTATGAAATGGACAAAGTCCGACAATTATTTTACGATATTTTTTTTATGTATACATTATTTTTTAAAGATACAAATATTTAAGTAAATGCTCTGTTTATAATAAACAGTATTAACATTTACCTGCCTGAATGTCCGAGAAATTTTCATAGTAAATATTCGTCCTCCAACAGGAATCGAACCTGTATCCTATACGGAACCGTCTTATAGCCTGACGTGCCTTTAACCGATTAAGCCACAAAGGATCGTTCGGCAAGCAAGGTCGAATTTACTGTCTTTAAACTTCAATCTTCCATGAATCTCTCACGTACATTCATATCTGCTCAAAGCGTATCCAAATGTAAACAAATGATGTCACACATTATGAAATGGACAAAGTCCGACAAATATTTTAAGGCATTTTTATGCTTATTGTTCAATCGGTTAAGGCACGTCAGACTATATGACGGTTCCGTATAGGATACAGGTTCGATTCCTGTCGGAGGACGAATATTATCCATGAAAATTTCTCGGATATTCAGACTGGTAAATGTTGTTTAATACTGTTTATTATTAACGGATCATTTACTTAAATATCCGTATCTATAAAAAGAATGTATAAATGTAAAAATGTCTTAAAATAACCGAGTTTTCTCCTGTTTTTGTTTTTTGCAGTCACCCATCTTAGTACTAACCAGGGTCGGTGGTGCTTAACTGTGCCGATCGTTTTATTCTGAAACCTGTTCTTCTAACTCAAATCCTTTTGTCTCTTTCTTTGCAGATATCCAGATTTTTTCTTCTTCAAGTAACTGTATCTCTGAGATCAGGTATTAGGATTACTTGCATAATTTACATTATTCGGACTGTTATCCTCATCTTCACTGGCAAATTCACAACGTTTCGGCCGTTGTACACTCTGGTCTTCTTCAGGTAATTGTATCTCTGAGATCAGGTATTAGAATTACTTTTATAATTTACATTATTCGGAATGTTTTCCTCATCTTCATTGGCATATTCACAACGTTTCGGCCGTTGTACACTCCGGCCTTCTCAGGCGATTGTATCTCTGAGATCAGGTATTAGGATTACTTGCATAATTTACATTATTCGGAATGTTTTCTTCATCTTCATTGGCATATTCACAACGTTTCGGTCGTTTTACGCTCTGGCTTTCTTCAGGTGATTAGAATTTCGAACTGAACCCGTTATTTCGTCCACCAGGGTTGATTGTTCTGGTTCCATGTGTCATGCCTCTTCCGGATGTTTCAGTTATTTCGCTTTAACTCAACTCTCCAAATTTTTTGGCTCACAACTGCTGTGTCCTGGTATTGAACTCACAACTCTTTGGGTCTAGTCACTGGATCTAACCAACGTCGTTATGCTACCGGGTTATGTGTCCTGAAGAAGGACGGAGCGTACAACGCCCGAAACGTTGTGAACATGGCAGTGAAGATGAGGTTAATAATCCGATTAATGTAAATAATGCAAGTAATCATAATACCTCATGCCAGAGATATTCAAATTTACAAGCCATTTCTTGCTCCAGTTTGCATCTGATTGGAGGTCATTTTCAGGAGCAGCTGCACGTCTTACTTTGTCGAATCTATTGAATTTATTATAAAGACAAGATTTAATATTTGTACCATCAGTATTAATACCTAGCTGGAAACAGTTGACATAAGAAAGGTCGTTGATGAAATTACAAAGAACATAGGCCCAACGATAGATACCTTGACAGCCCCCGTTTTAAAGTGAAATGATCTAGATCTTCATAGAATTAACTTCTTCCCCTACGACCCACAGCTTTCTATCCTTCGTAGCTTATAACCAGCTCTTTCAGTGAATTACTCACTGATTTCCACCGCCCTTCTTACCTTCAATATATCATGTAAAGGTCAAAATAGCATAAACAAATCTGGAAATAATGTACCCTGTACACTGTATAATTATATCAAATGAAACTCTAATCTATACAAAACAAAAAGGGTGGTCACAGTTTACAAAAGACTGTTGCTTTAGGCTTAATACTATTTGGAAAGACTATTCAATTATTGGCTCTTCGAACCGCGTAAGTTGCAGAACGTCGCTCGAGAAATATCGGATTTTTAATGTTTTGTCAGCTTAGTTTATACATACAATTAAGTTTAATTGCCAACTTAAAAGTATAATGCTTTGAAAATCAATAAATGACAATGAATGAGAAACTGTGGAGACGTGGGTTAGAGAAATCACTGGCTTCGACACAGCGTAACTTTCATATACTGTTTTTAACATGATTTGACCTTTTAAGCTTTTTTTTGTCTCTTTCCTCATACCTTTCTTTATCGCTTTCTCGCTTATCATTTTTTTTTTTTTTTGCTTTATTTGTTTCTATTTCGGGGGCGGGGTGTGTCTAACAATTCTTTGATAATTTCTTTTTCTTTCTTTATTTCTAAGTTACTGACTTCCGTTCCCTCTCCACACACACATCCACATACTTTTCCTTTCTTCTTTCTTTATGCCTCTTTGATCTGATTTTCTTTTTTCTTTTCTTTTTTCTTCTTTTTTTCTTCTCTGCAAACAGTTTACAAGTTTCCTTCTACATTTTTTCTTTATTTTCATATCCGTTATCTTTCATACTATACTCTCTCTCTCTCTCTCTCTCAATCGCCCCTCTCTCTCTCTTTCTCTCTCTCAATCGCTCCCTCCCTCCCTCCTTTCCTCCAATTGTACTTCTTCTTGGTATTTACCAAACTCAGCTGAGAAAAGCAAAGGCAGCTGGAAGAAATGGGACCAGAAATTATGCGTAATGTCAATCACCCAACTTGAAAGATCAGACTGCGTTGAGAATCTGGCTTTGTACCGAGGATCGAACACTGAATTCGGGCAGGCGTGGAAGCAATGTCGCTATTTCAGGCTCTTAACTGAACATCTCTCTCTCTCTCTCTCTCTCTCTCTCTCTCTCTCTCTCTTTCAAATATATATATATTTATATATAAACATAAAATATTAGGCAGCATATAATTTATATACAAAGAAATAATCACACATAGAATCAATCAGCAATATTAATGCTATTATTGGCGACATCCATAAAAATATGAACTGGAAACAACAGACAACAGTTTTATGAATGAGGATCACATCACTCTATGGATTAACAGTATTTTAATGCATACATTATACACTACTAGCGATGGATGTCGCCAATAATACCATTAATATTGCTGAATGATTCTATGTGTGATTGTTTCATTATATATATATATATATATATATATATATATATATATATATATATGATATATATGATATATATATGTGTGTGTGCGCGTGTGTGTGTGTGTGTGTATGTGTATTTAGGCAGCACGCCTTCTTTCATGCACATTTCATTGAATACGAGAGACAAGGTGCTTTTATTTACTTTTTTTATGCGATTTCTCATGCGATCTAATATTTATTTTTCTTTTCGGATGATAAATTATATAAAAACTGTCCAAATGTTCTTTTTATTCGAGAGCTTTCGGCTATACATTTAACCATTTTCAAGGATTAAATATTTTAATTGTTAAATAAGAAATAGTTTGTTCTATGTATGTTTTATAAAATGTTTTCATTTTTCAAAACACGGTCAAAACATTGTGTCCATGTTCAAAGTCAGTATTATTAAGTATTTTTTTTTTTTTATTAATAAGGTTTCCATTAATTCTAACCTTTTTTTGCATGTGGATGATGCTATTATATTAGTGTTATCAACAAGTATGTTATGAATAGTGTCCGGTAAGTCTCCATGAATATTTAAATGAGATCTAATTCAGCTATGGTCAGAAAGGTGTAGATCGAGTCTGCGTGTCAAACATGTTGTAGTGTGGCCTATATAGTTATTTACGAATTTTGATTGATCAAGAATACAATTCATTAATGGGCATTTAAATTCGTATAAAATATTTCTTCTAGGATGTGAGTTATTATTTTCAATGAAATGTGCATATATATATATATATATATATACTAGCAGCCTGTCCCGGCGTTGCCCGTGCTTGATTCAAAAATAGTACCACTAATACAGCAATCGCTATCACTTGACTTAAAATATTTTTGCCCTTCCTTGCCTTTAGAGGAGTGCCCTTTGCCGTGCTGATGTTGTTACATGCCTTACTTCTTGCCTATATCACATTGCCAACTTTTTCTAAGCTCTATAGTAAATATTAAATCTGTTACGAAAAAAGAACTAAACAAAATAAACACAATACGATCAGCTTTAAAAAACCAGAAAAAAAACATTTTTAAGGGTTGACCGATTGTCGATTTGCACTCTGTTTGGGTGGGGGGTGCTCAGAGTTGAAACTTCACATGATGACTCCCAATGACCTCTTCATAAATCCGCTCGGTTTTCGCTAAAAACCGAAATGCGGTTCAGACGCAATCAGGGTGTATCGGTTTTGGGGTTTTATCGATTTTCCGCACTGTTTAGGGACCCGTGGTCATGAAACTTCTGGACAATACTTCTAATGGTAGACTCTAAGAGCGTGTCAAATTTGGTTGAAATGCGATCATTCCTTCTGTAAGCAGAATTTTTTCGATTATCGATTTTTTCGGAACCTGATTCCGAACTCAAACATCGGGCTCCGTTATGTCCTTACGGCAGCCATTTGCAAACTTGTGTTGAAAACCGCATCGAAATCGGGTGAGAAATGCGGCCTGGGCGAGGTAACAACGCCTACGACAGTCACACAGACAGACAACATGAGAAATATAGATAGTATATATATATATATATATATATATATATATATATATATATATATATATTATTTTAGGATATTACATCAAAAGATGTGAATAACGCTACACAAATGCAATCATGTTTCAATGTGTATTAACACATCTCATCAGGCGTTAGTAAGTGACTGGTTATTAGACAATATATTGAGATTTAAAACTACATACATCCTCTCTTCACGCGAAAAAAAAACGAAAAAGAGCAAGAAAGAAAGACACAAGGTACAATCTCTTTTCCAGAGAAAAGGCAGAATAAGGAAAAATAGTTGGAATGAAGTGGAAGGAGATAGCAGCATTTTTTTTCTTTTTTATAATCAAATCTACCAATTAAAATGGCCTACGCTAAGTAAGAGGTCATAACCCACTGATTTAAAATCGTAGACACGTTAGACGTTATATTCGATACAAATGCAAGTTTGCTACAATGTTAACATAAGACAAATGATATTTCTTATGAGAAAGGAGACGTAACTTAACAAGGCATTTGACAAACCACATACCTTGTAAGTTAAAAGTTAAAAGTTCACAATTTTATAGTCGGTAAAAAATATGGCCATTTAAGAAATAAATAAAAAGAAAACAAAAAGGATTTAACAAAATTATTAAAAGATATAGATCAAACAAAATCTCTATCTATAAAAGGAAGGATGTGGGGGGGGCAGTGTGTGTGTGTGTGTGTGTGTGTGTGTGTGTGTGTGTGTGTGTGTGTGTGTGTGTGTGTGTGTGTGTAACGAATGCACGGCCGCAATTTTCGACGGATTTGCACCAAAATTTACATGCACATGCTCCAAGTTAGCGGAAAAGCCAAGACCGACTTTGCATTTCCCAACTCCCATCGATAGTGAAAATAATCGATTTTTTCATGCTTCTACGGCAGTTTTCATGTAGTTTGCGGCCATTTTCTACTGGCCAGAGTGAGAGCCTATAGCTGGCTGCCACGAATAGGCAGGAAGATTCTACTGGCCAGCGTGAGAGCCAACAGCTGACTGACACGAATATTAACTAGCATGCTAGCATACAAAAAAATCGATAGCTGCATTCGTCACAAATGGGAAAAATTTAAATCTGCATGGCACTTTACTCCAATTGGCTCATTCACTTGCTTAAACTCAAGGTTGATTCTGATTCCGCAGAACTGGGCTGGCTGTGAAAAAGTATTTGTTGTTAATATTCTTTTTTGATTCGGTTTTTCCAGTTACGAGTCCTTTTTTAAAGCTGATCGTTTTGTGTTCATTTTGTTTAGTTCTTTTTTCGTAACAGATTTAATGTTTACTATAGAACTTAGAAAAAATTGAAAATAGGCAAGAAGTAAGGCATGTAGCAACATCAGCACGACAAAGGCACTCGTTTAAAGGCAAGGAAGGGCAAAAATATTTTAAGTCAAGTGATAGCAATTGTTATAAAAGTCGTACGATTTTTGAATCAAGCACGGGCAACGCCGGGTCATGCTGCTAGTATTTAAATAAATAGATCAAACAAAACTTTAACCATATCGAACAGATAAAATTAATTAAGATTATAGATCATACAAAATAGAATGCGACTGTTAACTAAAGGGTATTTATATAGTGTACTAATAAAATAATGGAAAATATCAAAATCTCAGACAAACGCATATACCTCTAGGCAAAATATTAGTAGCATTACTTGAAGAATGATCTACAAATTATACTACATCGAAATTGATCTCACTGCAGATGATAAGCTTTATATCGTGAAACAAGTTTATTCTGAAATATAAAAAGAAACATTTGTCAAATTTCTAAGTATAGCAAGATTGTAGAGTCAAAGATATGATATGTTTACAATTAACCGTTAATTCACATCTTTGATCTAATAAATCACCCCTTCTCAAAAACCATGATGATCTGCATTTTCTCCTGGAAACACAGAAATTAATGTTACGAATGCCGGAATTTATATTCGATTTGTTCTCATTCCATATATATATATATATATATATATATGTGTGTGTGTGTGTGTGTGTGTGTGTGTGTGTGTGTGTGGGGGTGTATGTATGCATACTTACTTTTCTTTTTATATATATATATATATATATATATATATATATATATATATATTCAAATCTATTTATCAGTCTACCTATCTTTATTTTTTCTTTCTATTTATCTATCGATCGCAGTCTGTTTATATCTATATCAGTCATTTCTATATTCTTATCTACCTTCCTAGTTACCTCTGTCTCTTCTTATCTAACTATCCATATATCTGTCTTTCACAATCTGTTCTCATGAGTCTACATCGGTTTGTTCTCATCTGTCTGTCTTGCATTCAAATTCTTTCTTTCTTTCTCTTTCATTCCTCATTGTAGTAACCTCGCCTTTCATCAATTTTCTGTCTTTTTCCTTTTTTGTACATTTTTTTTTATTTGTTATCTTAACAAACTCTTTTTTCCTCTTTTAATAACAACTCTTTCATTTTTTTTCTCTTTTTTCTTCTTTTTTTTTCTATTTTCTTTCTCCTTTTTTTCTCATCCCTAACCAGCTTCTTTATTTCCTTTCTGTTACTTTCTTTTTCTTTATTTACTGTTCTTTTTCCTTCCAGACTATCCTTCCATTTTTCTCCCTCTTTCCTTTTTCTTTTTTACATTTTTCTTTTCCCGTCATTCAATCCACCTTCTTCTCTTTTCTCTTTCTTTTTCTTCTGTTTTTATTTTCCTTCATTTTTATCCTTCTTCTTCTTCTTCTTCTTTTTTCTCATTCCTGCGTCTTATCTAGAAGTACCATCAACATTTCTCATCGAATATAGAAACGCCGTTTGTCGACATTTGTTCGCTGGCAGGTGGAACTAACAGTGAGTAAGAGAAGCATTACACTATCATATCAGAAAAGACGCAATCGCAGCCTATCGCCGAAACAAACTACGTTCTTTTCTCTCTTACTTGCTTTGTCTGTTTCTACCAGCAAATGTACCTCATCTATTAAAGAGTGGCACTTATCCAAGCTAAATAAAAAAAATACGCCAGAATATATTTTCTCTGCTCACAAATCTGCCATCTTGAAATAAGAGAAAAAAAAAACATCTTCCAACAAACGCTAGCAATTATTACAACATTTCAATTCAACGGCACTGAAAATAGCCAAACAAAACATACAATTTTTTTTAATGATGCATTTAGTTTATAACTGAATTTAATTCAACTTTCGATCAAAAACTATAAAAATGTAGCTAGTAAAAATTTAATTTCAATTTCAAAGATTTTGCTACTTTTTCAGTTTGCACATTAAGTTTCTTCTTTTATGCACAGTGCCCTTCAGGGCGTTAGCGATCATGGCTCTCTGGTAATTTCTGTCTTTTATTACACTACACGCTTAAAAGTTCATGGAAACGTGGTCGAGGGGTTAGAATGTTTGCAGTCTGACCACGAGACCCGGATTCGAATCTCATTGTCGAATTGTCAGTAAAGCGACTGATATTATCGGACTGGAGGGGTCTGGAAACCATACCACAGGTTGATCCAAGCCTTATGAGTTAAATTAGTGACCACCAATAGCTGTGCTAGCACGAAGTTACAAGTCATCGTGGCTGAGGGCTTGAGCTTGCTGGCCTTGTTCAAATCGTTGACCACGCTAGATAATACGCTCTCTCCCAGAAACTGCAATTAAGGTCTGCTCAGCATAGTTGCAGTATAAACTATAGGTAAGCCATGTGGATGCTGAATAAACACAAAATGCGCCTGATCAAGCGTATGCAATAGGGATTGGCTAGCCATCCTAGTAGACAAGTATCCGCTCTCTCTCTCTCTCTCTCTCTCTCTATATATATATATATATATATATATATATATATATATATGTATGTATAGCCTGTAGACGGAATCTTTGGGGTCCGTCGATATCTGTGCCAGCACCAAGTCACAAGTCATCGTTGAGCGTGCTGGCCTTGTTCAAATTGTTGATACGCTCTTTCCCAGAAACTGTAACTAAGGTCTGCTCAGCATAATTGCACTATAAACAGCAGGTGGGCTAAGGGTGTTGAATAAGCACAAATGCGATTGAGCAAGTGTCTGCAATAGGAATTTGCAGTAGACGGGTATCCTCGAAAAGGAAAATCCGGGTCCGACTTTGATAACTAGCTCTTGGGGGTTAACCTGGCCCCCGACTCAAAAATTAAAGGGACTTCTGGTCCAGTTTAGAAAACAGCAACGATAATTTTGAAGAAATAACTTTGATTTCCTCATTTTACTCTATAGAACTTCAAAATCTCATTTTGGCCCTGATTCGAGCTATAAGTCCAATTCTGGATAAAAGACTGACTAAGGGTGAAATTCTATTTTCGCCGAAACTCTGATTTGGGCCGAAATACCAATTCTGCCAGAAAATTTAGTTCTTCAAATCACAAACTAGTGGAATTTCATTTGAGTTCAGTTCTTCAAACCATAAACTCTGAGGAACTTCAAGACTTCACGTCACGAAACCCTCATACTTTAATTCAGATTCCTTGGCATTTTGATGAAATAAAATTGATCTCCTCAATTCACAACGTATGCGGGATATTTTAAACTGAATTTAAAACAAAAAATAATTAAATTCACAAAATTTTTGTGTTACTTTAAACCTTTTATAAATTAAAAACTTTTAAAATCACTCAGTTTTGTTTTGTTTGTTTGTTTGTTTTCATTTATTTTCATATTTGAATTTTTAACTGTTCCCTCCTCATCAGGACATAAATTTGAATGCTGGATGTTCAAGCACCGGATAAAGGGAAGATTTTCAATCCGAGTATCATCCTGATTCCAAAAATATATCTATATAGAGCAACTATATCCCAAGTTAGTGGGATTTCAGATGCACGGACGGACTGGCAGAATTTGCCGTTTATTTATTTAGATAGAAGTAACTTTTGATCTGTCATCATTCATATTTGCCCCCGTTTTGGCATCTATTCACGCAAACGTAATCTAGGTTACTCGCTCTTAGGTTACTGCTGCATCTCATGCCTTCAAAATGCCTTAAGAGTCTTAGACTCTCTCGGTTTTATTATTTATATCAAATTTTGACTCTCTCTCTCTCTCTCTCTCTCTCTCTCTCTCTCTCTCTCTCTCTCTCTCTCTCTCTCTCTCTTTAAGATTGTAAATATACTTCTCCCTTTGATTCTTATATTCCTTCAAACGTTCTCGTTAATGTGTTCGTCTGCTTCAATCAGTTTTCCACTCTTTCTTACTTCCTCAATTCTTCTTTACTCTCTTTTTTTTTCTTTCATTTCTTTTTAAAAAAAAAAAAGTTTTCTTTCCCGTTTTTCGGTGTTAATTTAATTTTTGCCAGCAAAATCTTTCCATTTTCTTTTTCCTTAAATGGTTTCTGAATGTAAAGAAAGAACAGAAATAAAACGAATAGATAGATAGATAGATAGATAGATAGATAGATAGATAGATAGATAGATAATGGTTAGAATAAGATAGATAGATAGATAGATAGATAGATAGATAGATAGATAGATAGATAATGGTTAGAATAAGATAGATAGATAGATAGATAGATAGATAGATAGATAGATAGATAATAGATAGAATAGATAGATAGATAGATAGATAGATAGATAGATAGATAGATAGATAGATAGATAGATAGATAGATAGATAATGGTTAGAATAAGATAGATAGATAGATAGATAGATAGATAGATAGATAGATAGATAGATAGATAATGGCTAGAATAAGATAGATAGATAGATAGATAGATAGATAGATAGATAGATAGATAGATAGATAGATAGATAATGGTTAGAATAAGATAGATAGATAGATAGATAGATAGATAGATAGATAGATGAATAGATAGATAGATAGATAATGATAGAATAAGATAGATAGATAGATAGATAGATTAGATATAATAGATAGATAGATAGATAGAATAAGATAGATAGATAGATAGATAGATAGATAGATAGATAGATAGATAAAGAGTTTGACAGAGAGATGAACAAACTGAGAAATTAAAAGACTGGGAGATATATATATATGAAGGCAGACAGGAAGTCGAAAATAAGAAATAAATCTAAAATACGGAAGCCAAAAGAGAAGTAAAATTGCAGACTATCTCTGGATTCTTTATCAATCAACGTAAAATGCGTTCGTCTGCTTCAATCAGTTTTGCACACTTTCTTACTTTCTCAATTGTTCTCTACTCTTTTTTTTTTCTTTCATTTCTTTTTATCTCCATCATAACTGCTTTCTTTTTAAAAAAAAAAAAAAAAATATATCTTTTCTATTTTTCGGTGTTAATTTTATTTTTACCAGCAAATTCTTTCCATTTTTCTGTATAATTTACTTTTCCCGCATTTTTATTTTATCGATATATTTGCTTTTGCTTTCTCTTCGCCATTTCTTCCTTTGTTCTCGATTTTATTTATTTCTCTTTGTTCCAAAAATCTTACTTACATCCAGCAATTTTTTTTTGTTAGCTTTTTTCGTTCTTTCTTCCGACAAAGAATCTTTTTCTTCTCTTTCTCTCTCTCTCTTTCTCTCTCTCTCTCTCTTTCTCTCTCTCTCTTTCTCTCACTCTTTCTCTCTTTTGTTCGCCCGCTCTCTCTTAAACCGACTGATAATCCGAAAGCTAAATATTCTAGTCAACCCTTCGTTATTTTTCCCATTACTGGGAGGAAAGAAAAAAATGGTTTCATGCCTTTCTCAAGTTTGAACTCGGCCCCCCGATTGAAGTTTCCGCGCCGATAACTTATAAACTTGGCTTTCTTTTCGTTCTTTCTCCTAACAAAATTTCTTTATCTTCTCTCTCTCTCTCTCTCTCTCTCTCTCTCTCTCTCTCTCTTTCTCTCTCTCTCTCTCTTTTGTCTCCGTTCCTTTCATAGATTTCTTTTTTGTTACTAAATGTGCACCAAATACAGGGCGTTACTAAATGAGTTTATTATATGGAAAGGAGGGGGTAATTACAGATTATGAGGCTATGAAGGATATATAACATTTGGCCCTAGACATGACGTCGTTAAAATTATAGTGATCGGGAAGCATCCTCTGAGGAGTATCATCCAATATAAGTAATGTTTCTCGTGAAGGAACTGTCTGAGTGGAACTTCTTTCTTTCCCACTATTTACATTAATCGGACTATTGTTCTCATCTTTGTCACCATATCTATCACAACGTTTCGGCGGTTGTACGCTCCGGCCTTCTTCAGGTGGTTGGAGTGTCAAACTGAACCTTTTATTTCGCTCACTGAGGTAGGCTGTTCTAGTTCCACGTGCCACGTTTAATGGATGTCAGTTATCAGTTATCTCCTGTTAATTTCCCTCTACAAGTTCAATACTGCCTTAACCGGGTATTAAATTCACACTCTTTGGGTCCTTTCACTGGATCTAACGTCTGTATCCACTTTGCCATGTGTCCTTGAACAGTCTGCCCTAGTGAGCGAAATAAAGGGTTCAGTTCGACATTCCATTCTTGTATTTCCTCGACATCGTAAAATTTTCTTTCCTTCAAGGGGGATTTGATTTGAGGAAAGAGAGAAAACGTCGCAAGGGATAAGATCTGGGTAATATGGTAGTTGGCGTACCTGGGTAATGTTGTTCTAGGCCCAAAAAACTACTGCACAAGCCATGGTCAATGATGGGGACCTCTGCGGTGTGATGAGACGAACACACTCTACGCACTTTCATTCCAAACACTGCTATAAACAAGGAAAGTGAGCTAAAATACTATAGCTTAGTGTGTAGGCGCGACGGGGTTCAAGGTCAGTCGGTGCCAAGCGGATTCGCTCTGCGTACTTTATCTCCGTTACCAAAGTATCAGTCGCAATACCTTTTATATCAAACTTCGACTCTCTCTCTCTCTCTCTCTCTCTCCCTGTCTCTTTTTAAGATTGTAAATATACTTCCCCTTTTGATTCTTATTTTCCTTCAAACTTTCTCCCGATACCTTTTGATCAGATCTCGTTTATTCCTGGTGAAACGTTTCTTTTCGAGACATAACTGATTAGGCAGAAGATTTATAATTGGGCAGATTGCCATTTCTTTCTTTCTACAATAGACTGCATAAGTAAATATAACGAACACGACTGGGATTTGAACTCGGCTCTCAGAGTTCTCATTCCGAGCCAATATCCATTACATCACAACGCACATTGAACCAGAGTGTGTGTATATATATATATATATATATATATATATACATAAACATGTTATAAAATCACTACAAAAATAGCCATTCATTCCGTATACACCAATTTTTTATATATATATATACTCGATTCTCCCGTCAAGCAGATTAGTTTCTAGGAAACCGACAGCCCAACAACAGCACATGAGATTTGATTATAGTGGTGAAGGTTTCGTGCAGGACCATCCACACTTTTTGAAGGGCCGAATACAGAGACCTGGTGCACTACGTGCCACAAGGTCCCCAAACGACCCTCCGCAGGTTTTGATTTCAAAGTTGTCTTTCTCCTAGACCAGTTGCCATTCAAAGCTATAGAACCCAGTCTGTCATGCTATTTACCCATAGCTGGAGGGAGAAGAAGTGGATTCCCAAGGGTATTACCACGTAAATGAATGTAATGGATTCGACTGGAATTCGAACTCGGCACTCCGATTCCTCAATCCAAGCCGCTATCCATTACTCCAGCGTGCCTCCTATGGATAGATAGATATAGAGGAGGCACGGTAAACTAGTTGATATCAGCTCGGATTGCGGAAACGGTAGAGCCGAGTTCGAATTCCACTCGAATCCATTACATTCACTTACGTGCTAATACCCTTGGGAGAGGTATGAATCTTTTTCTACTCCCCCCAGTTATGGGTAAATAGCAAGACAGACTGGTTTCTATAGCCTTGGATGGCAACTGGTCTAGGAGAGTTCAAAACCTGCAGAGGGTTATTTAGGAACCTCGTGGCACATAGTGCACCAGGTCTCTGTATTTGGCCCTTGAAACAGTGTGGTTGGTTCTGCACAAATCCTTCACCATCAAATCTCAAGCGCTGGTGTCTGGATGCCGGTTCCTACAAACTGAGCTTCTTGGCCCTCATACATCGAATACGACAAGAGACAATGACAAAATGGAAAAAATTGGTTCGTCCTTCAAAAGGATTTCTTCCAACTGACAATATTTTTTAGATGGAATCGAATTAACTATTGCGAGGGAATGAAATACAACAAATCCTGGTTATAAATCTACATCGAGAAACGCTGAATTTTATGGATTGATGTCTTACGGCTTATCAGCCTTTTACAGATTATTTAAAACCAGAAAAACTTTTTAGATGTTAAGATGTTTTTTTTTAGATAATACTAAATTACACACAACTTCTACTAATTAACCCATATCTCGAGGAGAAGTCGTTGATTCGTATCTTTGAGCGTAAGTGAATACATAGAATTCCGATTTCCGTTATTCATTACACCATTTGCACATCCAAGCTTACAACGCAAGGCTATTCCCAAGTGGTCATTCATCTAGGTACGTTGATTAACATAAATGATTGTACGAAAACCGGTGTTTCAACGTTGCCAGACAATTTGTCGCATCAGAAGCCATCTTGGACATTTGAAAAACTACCATTCGTCCGAGCATTGAATATTGTTGCCGTATCTGGTCTGATTCCCCTGCTCTACATCTCGAGATTATCAATAAAATCCAAAGAAGGATCTGCAATCTAATCGATCCTTATGTTTGAGGCTTACAAAATAATAGGAATAGTTTATAGGGATCTGACTCGTCAGAATCCATCTTTCACATTTACAGATCTTCTCTTCGTCAGTGTGTTGGATACTTTTGCCATGTCTGGTCTGGTGCTCCGGCTGTACATCTCGAGATTATCAATAAAATCAAAGGTGGATCTACATTCTAATGTATCCTTATAGTTGAGGCATACAAAATAATAGGAACAGTTTATAAGGATGTGACTCGTCAGAATCCATGTTTCACATTTACAGATCTTCCCTTCGTCATTGTGTTGAATGCTGTTGCCATATCTGGTCTGATTCTCCTGCTGTACATCTAGAGATTATCAATAAAATCCAAAGAAAGATCTGCAATCTAATCTATCCTTATGGTTGAGGCTTGCAAAGTAATAGGAGCAGTTTATAGGGATGTGTCTCGTCAGAATCCATGTTTC